CTGCTATGTACTGTGCGAAATCAATCGATCTTGCAAGAATAAAATTTGGATATCCCTCTTCTAAGAATTCCAATTGAGTGTGTTAGTGTGGCCAGCTCAGAGCAATATGATATTATAAACACAACACATATCACGTCTCTGCTGTTTATAACTTCATAGGAAAGAAAACACGCCATTCATAACAGTTTGAATGAGGAAATCTCTCCCAAGAGAAACAGGATTTTGCTGCAAGACAGGCATATGTAGCGATGATTTAACGCAGCTAAAGTCGTGTCTTATTATATACTGTCCTTCTGACAACAGGCCAGCGAAAAATCTAACAATCTACAGCAAAACCACCAATTATTATGGGAGTTATAACATAGGTGTGCAGCTGGACGAAACATAGACATCGAACCCCCACAGACGATTTAAATACCTTGACGAAACATACACGTCAAACCACGCTGAACGGTTAAAACCCACAATTCATCTCTAAATATGTTTTAAATCAGTCATTACTTTCGCTCCCAGTAACTCTGCTGAATTACATCTCAGCCCAGTCACTTTTAGCAATATATTAAGTGGAATGCAGTAATTTATGACAAAAATAAATTAACAGCAATTAATCTGCACATGTTCAAGGAATCACAGATGGTAATGAGATACATCATCCAGTGATAGTGGAGAAATGATATGCTCAAGTCTGTCAAGAGAGAAACCTTCTGTTTCACCATGGCATGTTACAATTTGACCTGGCTCAGATATGGTAGTCTGTATAATGCTCTGGTAAACGCTTAATTCACACATAGAAGCAAATGCATTAAAAAAGTAATACAATACTGAACTTTGTTCTCAGACAAATAGAAATTTGAATGGAAAGGATCAATATTAAATCTGGCAAACGTTTTGTTCATACTTATATTCAGCTTCATACAAATGTGATATGTAAGATGAAAAACATGGATGATCAAACACAATCTAACGGCATTCTGCATTGTAAATATTGCATACACAACACACAAACTTTAAAAGAACTTGTACACAGTTTGAAACTAATAATTTTGGGGATTGGTACAAAGGCTTTATATTTCAAAACACAAAATAATATACGTCTTCATTCACGTGTAAAGAAACCTACAACTAATAAAGAAAACATCTGGGGCTTCCTAGTGGTGATTATAAACTTGTATGACAACAAATAGTTTAATAATAAAGATGTACAAGCCATTTTCGGATATAATGTGAGTTCAGTTCGTTTTAAGTACAAAGTTCTGGCTAAACACTAACAGAATTTGAAAGACTGAAAGCCTGTAGTCAAGTTACCTCCATCAAGTTTGAGTGATGACCTCCATTCAACTGGAAAGAATTCTGCACGATTCTCTGACGATGCAAAATACTTCTGCTTTAACCATGCCACACGATCACGAAACCTGTTAATGATAAAACACTTACTGTGAATACCAGACAGTCTTCAGGAATGAATATTTGTATTCCCTAGATATTTTTTCACTTCTACCTTCAGGAGATAGCTGAATATAAGGTAATTAAGGTAATATTTAATTAAACATCACAGCATGAAGATACATGGGGGAGTGGAGCTACAGCTCCACCTTGGAAAAATATGGAAGTGATTGATCAGCTTTCTGCCCTGATGGCCTCAACCCTGGATAAGCATCTCATCATACTAATCGTAGAGGGGCTGAGTGAGCCAAAGAGCCAGTCTGTCACTGTGGAGAAAAGAAAAATCTCTTACTCCTACCAGGATTCAAACTCCAGCCATCCAGTCTGTACCTGTGGCTATACCAAACCACCTATTATATACAACAGTTCAAAATTGTATCCTGGTTACAGAGAAAAGACCTAACTGATGCCTGTAATGTATATAATTTATTTCAATTTCAACCTAACCGAGACTGTATTCTACGTACTAAGAAAAATGCATACATACGTAGAAGTGTTGCGAATGATTCGGCCAGTATCCATCTTCTGCCCAATGCCATGAATAACAAACACAAGGTGTGTAATATCCACTGGTCGGTCAGTCTCAGTAGCATTATGCTTATATCCTCGGCACAAACGGTAACCAGTAGCTACCAAAAACCAACAAAAACAAAAATATTACTATTTTTAACATAATCAACGTTCTGTACTACACAATTCAGCTGCAAGTTTTCATAATTGCATCCTTCATACAAGAGAAAAACTATGAAAACTACATTCAGAAATTCACTGGATTCACTCATACTTGTATATCTACACATGAATGAGTTCCCACTGAACTGTATGTATCAAATCTTGCATAACACTGCAGACCATGAGTGCAGTGTTTAACAAAAAGACAAACTAAGATGAATGTGTTAACTAAAGAAAAAATTCAAGACATTGAAAAATGGTTATAGATTAATCCTCACAAACTTCTTTGCACAAAACACTGCAGTTTTGCTGGGATCTACATTCACAACCTCAAGATGAATTTAATTTTGTCTGTATAAAACAACAGTTGTGCATAAGCTTCAATAACCAGATTATGTAGAAAGAACTAACTTCTGTGCAGTTAGTTGCTGCAAAATATGCACAAAAGAGTTCGGAACCTACAGCCGGTGTTTATGTCTGATAAGGTACAGGTTTACCTTTGTAGTACTATCAATATGCAAAATGAGAGCACAGAAAATCCTCATGCAATTTAGTAAGAGCCATTACAAACTGCACAAGTAGCAATGTTGTATGTCATAAATGAAAGGCAAAAAGGTAAAGTTGTTCCTATGCTTAAGTAAACACCATGTCATGAAGACATATGGGGGAATGGATGTATAGCTCCATCATTCTTGACCTTGGCCCTACATGGTGGTGAATGGTTAGCTTCATGCTCCAGCTGCTTTAAGCCTGGCTAAAGAGCCCCCATTGCACAGAAGGCTAGGTGGGTTGTCTGGAGTGACTGAATAAAATCACATAAAAACGAGAAATCAGCTGGTGTCCTGGCCAAGATTTGAACCAAGCACCTTCAGACCATGAGTCACAAGCACTAGACCTACACAGCAACTAATTTGGAGTCAATATGAATTCCTTTAATATACTATACATGTGGACCCTGGGATAGTGTAGTCAGCATAGCGACTGACTATGGGCTGGATGACCAAGGGGTTGGAGTTTGGGTCCCAGTAGTGGCACGAATTTTCTCTTCTCCATGTAATCCAAGCCGACTCTGGGTCCACCCAACCTCCTATCCCATACGTACTAGGGGCTCTTTCCCTGGGAGTAAAGCAGCCGGGGCATGAAGCTGACCACTCACCTCCAGCTCATGCCGAGGTCAAGAAAATGTGTATCTATACATCCACTCCCCCATATACCTTCATGGTGTAGTGCTTAATTAGTTAAGCAAAGAGACAATTTTACCTTTTTATTATTCATGTGACTGCAACACTTCCCAAATATACTGAACTTCTTTCACAATGCCCAACATTTTGATGTCTGTCTTGCCTCCATCAATCAATACACATTCAAAATGCAAACCCAAGTTAAACCCCCTTCCTTCAGGAATGTTTCTTCATAGGATAAATTCCAGAACAACCCAGATAAGAATATCTTTCCATGTTGTGATATGTCACTTTTAACAACAAACCACCAGTCATTATTCCAATGAATTAGCAATCTTAACCTCTACAAATGTACATCTACTTCAATGTGACTGATTTCTAGATCACCTCTTTTTATGATGTAGAAAACAGAACATGAAGTGCATTTACAATGAATCTGCCTGGAGCCAGGCAGTAGGAGCCCAGCATTTCATCAGCATCTACTTGAACCATGTCTATGTCTACTATACTATATGTATAACTAAGTTATTCTAAATTATTATTATTATTACTATTATTATTATTAAAATACATTTCTTTGATCCAACAGTCACCCCCTAGGGCTGGATATAAAAATTGTCATATATCATGTCAGAAACAATTCAATTCAATTTTATTTCATCCATGAATCATTATACATGATATGGGACAAGTCAAAGATTAATATTAATACTAATACTAAATAGTAATAAGACTATAATAATACAGAAATAGTATGCCAAATTATAATAAATGATAATAATAATAATTCAATTCAATTCTTTATTATTTATGTGCCAAGTCAACAGCCGCAAGGCCAATTACAGACTTAGCACAGTGTAGATGAAAGTAATTA